GGGGGAGGGGGGATTGCTGTTTCCGTCGAGTAAGATGAGTATGAGAGCTATGCTCTGTTGACGGTGGTGGTGCGGAGCGGGGCAGGAGGTGCGGGAAAAAGGGGCGACGGTGGAGCCAATTGAGATCGAACAAAAATGGCTGAACCATCTATTGACTCGAGATGAACGAACGTTTGCCGCAACAGGCAAGTGCGGGATAGTGGCAGATACGAAAACACCCTAAGAATACAAAATATGCAACGCGCCGAGTCAAATGAAATGGCAATTGGCAGATTTCCGCACTACGAGGGGGGAAGAACTTGGCCAGGCCATGGGGATGGCCTTGCACCAGGAATATGTTTCCTACATGTACATCATGAAATGGAAAGCAAGAGTATATACCACAGCGGGTAGAAAGTCGCGTAGGGCGCTTCAATTTCGGGTGCATAGGCTGGTCGGGGGGCAATGAGCTTGTGCGTACCTCTGCGGCTTGCGGTCAAACGGGAGACAGATGCGGACTTGGATGACGACGATTAAATCCCCGCACACGCGCCAATTTGATTACGTCAGTAATGGGTGTCCGTTTGGTCATTTATGGCCGCAGACGGGACAGTGCCAAATGACCTGGGGATTCCCTGCATCCGGTCAAGTCTCTTGATCTGGCAGGTAAGGGAGGAAGGTTGTCGTCATGCCCACCGCGATGCGAGCGGTGCCAGCGCCGCTGGCCGCATCGGGGCGGCGCGGTGTGGGCTGCCTCGGCCGTAGACCGAGCCGCGCAGCCGCGGTGAGGCTTCGGCTGGCTTACGAGAGGCGGCGATGCGCTTTTGCGAGTAAGGCGAGACGTAGGCACCACCGCGGCCGTTGCTGCGGAGCGGGTCCAGTCGGCGAGCCGGCGAGGGTGAGGCATAGGCCGAGAGGTTGCCGCGGCCAAGGCCACGGTTAGGAGCGGTGCGCCCACGCCCACGCCCACGCCCGCGTCCGCGTCCGCGTCCGCGTCCACGCCCGCGTCCGCGTCCACGCCCTCGTCCGCGTCCGCGTCCGAGGCCCGACGTGTTGACCACCGCGGGTGACGGCGCGTGTCCACCAATGGCGAGCCGTGTGCCCTGCGAGACGAACGAGGGCGGGGCGCGCGGAGGCGAGGCAGTATGCCCGCTGGCACCGGTGGTGGCAGACGGGCCAGCAATCGACGGGAGGCTCGGCGCCGCGCTGGGGTGCTGCGGCGCGCCGTGGGCGTGGAGCGCATGCGGCGAGATGGAGGAGGCCACAAGCGGGGGCGGGCCGGCAGCCGGACCCATGAGCTTGGCCTGTGCCACTTGTGAAGCACGGAGGGCGGAGGCATGGGCGGAGGCTGCGGCTGGACCGCCGAGCAGCTGGCCCTGGGCCATGTTCTGGCGGGCGAGCCCGTTGGCGAGGAGAGGCGACGTCTGATGCTGCTGTTGCTGCTGCTGCTGCTGCTGCTGCTTGAGGTGAGCTTGGATGAGCTGCATCGGCTGAGGGCCGGGAAGGCCCGGATGCGGGGCGAGCGAAGCGTGGTTGATGGCAAACGGCGCCGGGGCTGGGCCCTTGGACGGCTTGGGTGGGCCCTTGGCAGCTTTGCGTTGCTGGTCGGCGCTGTAGAGCTCTTTGAAGAACGGGTGGCGGAGAGCCTCGCGGGCGGTGTAGCGAGCCTCCGGGTCGTAGGCGAGGAGCTTTGCGAGCAAGTCGACGCATTCCTTGGACTGTTTCGTGAGCAGAGAAGCAAGCCCGGTGCCTTTCTGGGGCGGAAAGTCGAACGAGATGTGGCCGGACGAGTGGCGCTTGAAGCCCTCGAGGACGGCCTTGGGCGGAGTGCCGAGGATTTTGTGGATCTTGTTGATCTGGTCGAGCTCGTCCTTGCCTGGGAACAGCGGGTAGCGGGTCATGATCTCAAAGAACACGCAGCCGACGCCCCAGATGTCCATCTTGTAGTTGTAGTAGCCGTCGGTGAGGAGGCACTCTGGCGCCCGATACCAGCGAGTGGAGATGTACTCGGTGTACGGCTGTTTGGAGTAGATGCCGCGGCAGGAGCCAAAGTCGGCGAGCTTGAGCTTGGTCTCGTCGCGGATGAGGATGTTCTCGGGCTTGATGTCGCGGTGAAAAATACCGTTGCGGTGCATGTGATCCATGCTCTTCATCAGCTGATACATGTACGACTTGACGCGATGATCTGGCAAGTTTGTCCTCCGCCCTCGGATGAGCTCGTACAAGTTCATGTCGAGGAGTTCAAAGACGAGGGCGAGGCGGCCCGTCTGCCGATCGTACAGCACCTCTTGCAGCTTGACAATGTTTGCATTCGGCGAGAGGCGGCGAAGAGCTTGGATCTCTCGGAGATTATTGACTTGATCAATGGAATCAAACGAGGTCTTCATTCGCTTGATAGCCACATACTTGCCCGTCTTGACAACCTGTGCCTTGACCACCTCGGAGAAGGTACCCTCACCCTTCTTGCCCAAGAACTTGTACTTGTGCATAACTACCAATCCTCCCTCCTGTACCAGCTCAACTACCCCCTCCCCTCCACACTCTCTCTCACTCTCTCACACACAAACGAGACGAGCGATACTACCGCTTTCCCCTCTCTCCCCTCCCGCTGCCTCCAGCCCCCGCCCCGCCCTCCCCATTCGCCTGCTAATGAACTGACCGTTGAACTGTGCTGGAACTCCCCCCGCCCCGCCCCGCCACCCTCTCCACCACCACCACCACCACCAACGATTAATTGTTGGTGATGATAAATATGGAATGGCAAACGGGGGAGGAAAGGATTGGAAAATATTGTTGTTGCCGGTTTGGCGCCCACAACCATTTCCATCACTGCAGCAGAATCTTGATGCGTGTGAACATGAACCTGCGACAGAAGATCATGTACATGTGTGGTTGATCATGCCAATCGATGTGATGCTGTGGGCATGGAAGGCTGGCGTAGGTACATTGTGCGGATCTCTTGATACCCCTCGAGCCAGTCTGGGGATGGCATGCGAGGAAAGGCCATTTGTTCGCCAGCTGGCAAACGATTCAGGCGCAGCCGAGCGAGGGCGAGCGAGGGCGAGCGGGCGAGCTCTGCACCGAGAGCCACCCACATACCTGAACCATACCTTGAGACCAAACCTCGCCAGCAGCAGCCACTGCTCTGACCAAGGCTATGCTCCCTGCACTTCGTAGGGTGGTATGGACCCAGGTGCTGGGGCATTGGCGAGGAGGGCCAGTATGGCGTCGTGTACGGTCGGCGATGACGACGACGACGACGACGACGACGACGGCGGCGGCGGCGGCGGCGGCGGCGGTGGCGGCGGCGGCGACGACGACGACGACGATGAGGAGGGGGAGAAGGACGAGGTTGTTGGGCAAGTACCCATCACCGTTGTCACCATATGGAGAGGTCGGCAGGAGCATGGTGGGCATGGGTGTAGGCATGGGTAGTATTCGGTGGTCAACAACTGCGACCATTGAAACGCTCTCAAGTCCATTGACTCTCGACGATATGCCCGGCGTTGGCGGCCGTGGCTATCTCCCGCATGACGTGCAGGATGGCGATCAGCTGCGTGTTCTGTTTGTGGTCAAGCGGCATGATGCCGGTACGGCTGCCTTTGCTGCATCGGTCATCGACTGGCTCCACTCCTCGGCCTCGCCCCCGGTCCAGTGCTTCATTGAGCCGACCGCAGCAGGCCCCACCGGCGAGCCGGTCCTCGTCCGCCGAGCGCCGTCTGTAGCCACGCTTGGCCGTCGCGGCTGGCAAACGAACATCGATCTGGTTGTGGTGTGTGGCGGCGATGGCACGCTCCTCCATGCCCAGACCCTGTTCCAGGGCCCAGCTCCGCCGTTGGCCGCCTTTTCGTGCGGCTCGCTCGGCTTCCTCATGCCGTTCAAGCCGCCCGAGGCGCGAGTCGTCCTCGAGGCTATCCTCTCGGGCTCGCTTGGTGTCCTTCGGCGCTCACGGCTCGAGTATGCCATCGAGCACGTGCTAGACGTCGGCGACGGCGAGGCGCCAGTCTCGACCCAGGTCGCCCCGGCCATGCAGATCCTCAACGAGGTGGTCATCAAGCGACCGCACGACTTTCTAGGCGGTGTCACCGAAATCGCCTGCGGCATCGACGGCAACGAGCTGGCTCGTTTCCAGGGCGACGGCCTCATCGTGGCCACCCCTACTGGCTCGACCGCGTACTCGATGGCTACCGGCGGCTCGATCGTTCACCCCTCCATCGACTGCATCCTTGTCTCGCCGCTCTGCTCCATGACCCTCTCCTCTCGCCCGATCATACTCCCGGGCTCCGCCACTGTCACTCTCTCGCCGCTCAAGTCAGCTGCCTTTCTCGAAGGTCGTTGGGGTCAGCGGCTTGAGCCGCGCGACGTCGTCGTCATCACCCGCTCGCCCTACCCGCTCTACACCTACCTCCGCTCCGGCATCACCAACAACTGGGTAGCAGACCTCTCTGAGAACCTCATGTACGAACGCCAGGTCCGAGTCCACGCCCGCTACTCGCCCACCGACCCAGCAGTTTTTGCCTCGCAGTTTGAGACACCACCGCGGACTCGCAAGGTCACTGCCTCACTCTCGCCGCCCGCGGTCAAGCCGGAGAGCTAGTCAGTAGCCGCCGGTTGCGTCCTCTCGTCGGCCTCGTCCGGCCTACCGCGCATCACCACCGACGTCCGCGACATCGTTGCTGCCCGCTTCAGCCCACCCCTGTCCGGCGAGCCGGTTTCAAGTGTCGGCTCCGAGCCGAGCTGGACAAGCTTGGCGTCCGGCTCGGCAAACCGCACGCTGGTCGAGCCGGCGGCGATCTTGTGTCGGGCGCGCACAAACCGCCGCTCCTCGGCCACTCGCAGCGCGTCCTTGATCCCGTACAGGTTCTTCTCGTCCGCAATGCCGTAGGGGGTGAGGCCCTCGAACGAGACGGCACGCACGTCTGCTCCGTACTCGAGAAGCAGCTCGACCATCGAGAGCGAGCCACCAGACGTCGCCACGTGCAGCGGCTGCGAGCCGCCTTGATCTGCTACGTTTGGGCTCGCGCCATGGACAAGCAGCCGTCGCGCCGCGTCGAGGTGGCCCTGGTACGCCGCGTTGAACAGCGCAGTCTGTCCGTACTTGTCGCGCTTCTCCAGATCCACGTCTGTCCGCATCAGCAAGTGGTCCATCAGCTCCAGGTGATTGAACCGTGCTGCCAGAATGAGCGCCGTGTCGCCGTCGTCGTCGTTGTCGTTGACAGACACCCCCTTGTTCTCAATGAGCCACCGGACCGAGTCGACATCGCCGACTTTGGCCGCCTGCGCAATCGAGCTGAACATGCCGTCGTCGCTGCCGTCGCTCGGGTGAGATCCCACTCTACGCTGCCGGCATCCGCCTGTCATGTCCCAGCCCGAGCGCCCTTGCACCGCCGAGCTGGTGGCCATATACCAGGGCGTGGAGAGCGGTCGGGAGCAGCGCAGAGACGTTGGCCATCGCCGCGTCGAGCTCGCGCGCCTTGGCCCGCCGCGCCGTCGCAAGCCGCCGTTGCACGATAAACTGCTCCTCGATCCCGATCCGCTCCGACTCGGCTTTGGCCACAGCTATGCGCTGCGCTTCTCGGGCTGCCGCTGCGGCCTTTCGCTTTGCTCGCCGCTGCACCCGCTCGGCCTGCGAGACGAGCGCGGCCTCCCGGGCCCGGATTGCTGACGCTACCCGCGCCTCCTCGTCCTCCATTGTCTCCTCTGTCTCGCCCTCGCCCACAACCATGGCCTGCGTCTCGCGCGGCGCCGTGACAAACGTCGCTCGTCTGGCCCGTGGCCCGCGCCCACCGCGCCCACGCCCGCGCCCACGCCCGCGCCCACGCCCGCGCCCACGCGCCGGCTTGTGATGCCTTGATCTCGGCTTGCGACGCGAGCTGGGCGGCGTAGGTGGTGGCTTGGGTACAGCCGCCAGCCGTGGTAGCCGCCGTCCTCCATCTGCTCCGCTCGCCCCACCAATCCGATAAATCCGTCGCCCGATGACCACCGCCGCGGGTGTTCGCATCGCCCTCCTGTTGGTCATCAGCGCCTCCGACGGGCGGACAGGAAGTTCCGGAGGTGCTGCAAACCTCCGCCGCTTCTCTCTCATGCCACTACTTGCCCTCATCCTCTTCGCCAGCTCATATCGCTTCGTCCGTCCTCCACTCTGGCCGCATCCATCTTCCGCCAAATCCGCCGCCTCGTCCGCCGCCTGTGCCCCGTCGCTTCCGCTGTCCTCGCCCGAGCCAAGCACGAACTCGAGCTCCTCGTCTCGAGCTCCAGCACGACTCCCTCGGCTTCTCTTCCCTGCCGTCATGCAGTCCAACCGAGGTAGTGGCACTGTCATGAACGCAGGTCGCGGTATGAGCTCCTCGCCGCGCATGGTGATGGCTGCTCGTGCGAGGAGTGGCCGTTCCCCGGGGCGCCGTCGTCTGCAGTCGAGCAGATCATTTGGAATCGAGGAAGAAAGGCTACAGTGGATGCAGGATCGGTGAAGATGGTGAAGATGGGGGATGCGTCGAGGGGTGGGGAGGTGGGCTCAGGTGGGGGGAGGGGAGAGAGAGCATGACAAGTTTGGCAGAGTAAAAATACTTTGATCAGTGATCGGCATGCCACGTGGGGGAGTGCACAGCATGTAGGAACTTGCCGTGCGTGATGTAGCAAACACACACAATGGTGCCTTCAAGGAAGACTCAAACCAGTAGCAGCAGTCATAGTGTCTGATGAACGTAATTTGTCTCCCATCCCTTCCCTCCTGCCCGTCCATCGCTCGCCTATCCTACGCCGATCCGAGAAAAGGGCGTGCCGCTCGTGCCAGGCGGCCGACTTTGCATGAGATGGCTCTGCTGGCGAGCGCCTTTCCGGGACGAGAGCGACGACGTACACCGCTCTTGAATGATGCAGAGGGGAGGGCGTATAGGGTGCGCGGTTATGGTGGCTGCGGCTCTGGCAGCTGTGACACTCCTGGCGGTGGTGGCGGCGGCGGCAGCGGTCGTGTCGGACGAGGCACCTGCCCTCTCGCGAGACGAGCTGGCGGCAACGGCGTGCAGCCTTCGGCGATTTTCGGCGCATGCAGTGGCGAACGACAAGAGTGTGCGCGAGGAGCTGTATGACGAGATCGACGGCGGACGACCGGTGGTTGTGACCGGACATACCTTTGATGAGCAGTTCTGGTCGATCGAGCATCTGGGGGAGGTCTTTCCGGGCTTGTACGACGTCAGCGACGACGTCAACGTGGCCGAGGATGAGGCCATGCGGGCGCAGTTGCGCGAGCACTACGACGTGCCCGAGTGGCTTAATCGTGATGGCTTGGTGCCGACGTTCGGATCGGACTATGTGTTTGTGGGACGGCTCATGGACGTCAACGACCGGCACATCGACTCGGGATGCGCCGTCTCGTTCTCGTTCCAGCTGGCCGGCGTCAAGCTGTGGGATCTGGACAACCCTGGCAACCGTAGCGCGGGCGCCGACGACTTTGATAGCTGCGTCCTCCACCCGGGCGATGTGCTTGTCTTTTATCCAGGCTGGTACCACGAGACGACCGTGCTCTCGGACGAACCCTCGCTCGCCATCTCGCTCTACTTTTCGTCGCCGGCCTGGAGTCTCAACCGGTACTACGCGGCTTATGCCGACCATCTCTTGGCCATCCCCGAGTACTGTTCATGCTACAAGACGATGCTCCCGGAAACTGTCGACGATGCGGAGCTTGCCGCTGGCTACAAGGCCTCATGTGACTACATCCGCTCGCAAAAGTCGTTTATGGATGACGACGTGGTGCTGGATGGCAACTGTCCCGAGGGCTTTGCTTGATGGTTTATGATGCGGCGGGCTCGGCCGTGGTGGGCTCGGCCGTGTTGGGCTCGGCCGTGGTAGGGTCGGCCCCGTTGCCGTCGGCATTGTCATTGGCATCGCCGGCCCCGGCCCACTCGTACTCTTCGGGCGTGGGCATCTTCGGCAGATACTCTTCGCCCGGGAACAGTGACTCGAACATTGACCGGGCCTGCGCCATGACGTCCTCAGCGCAAAGCCCACCCGAGACGTCGGGCACAACGGTGATGTTGCTTGGCACATCCCGGGCTGCACCGTCGATTACCCGCTCGACCTGCGCAAAAGTGCAGTACCACACGGCCTTGGGCTTGGCGCTTGTGTCTGTGCTTGCGCCAGCCTCGGCCTCGGTTTCAGCCTCGGCCTCGGTTTCAGCCTCGGCCTCGGTTTCAGCCTCGGCCTCGGTTTCAGCCTCGGCCTCGGTTTCAGCCTCGACCTCGGCCACAACAGGCGTGACGTCGTAAAAGTGCGCGACAACGTGTTCCATGACTTCGCGCCCGTCGTTTGCACTGCCATCGGCAGGCAGTGCCATGCTCATCTGAACAACACAGAACCCGGGCGGGCACGACTCGGTCGAGTCGTCGACCTGGACCACATAAACGGGGTTAGGGTTGTCGGCCACGGCGCGTGGCGGGATCGAGGCCACAGCCAGCTTGGCATCCGCGACTAGTGAGCGGCGGGCGACAACGATAGCGCGGGCGACGCGCGCCTCGGTCCGAGCCACCATGGCGCTCGGGAGGTACTCGGGCCCGACGACAAAGTGAGCGGCGCGGAGGACGACGCCGGCCTCGGTCCCGACACCCACAGCGCACCCCGTCCCAGGCGCCAGATACCAGCGTGTGAGCGGCCACGAGAGGACGTAGAAGCCGCCAAAGACGGCGCACAGCCGACAGAACGCCTGTCCGATCTCGGACATACCGTACATCGGGGCAAGGAACGCGGTCTTGCCGTACCGGCCCAGCGAGTGGAGATACAGCCGGATGGCGGCCTCACCAGCGGCTTTGCTCAGCGGCGGTTCGTCGCGCTCGACAAGCGCAATGGCATACTTGACAAACGCCGCGAGCTTTCCGCTCATTCGCGCAGCGTCGAGGGCCTCGTCGAGCGTGCCGTCATCGGCTTTGGCGCCGTCGGCGGTAGGGGAGTGACCGGCTGCATCAACGCTCGTTGCGGTCGAGAGATCCTGCGGCGCATACGGCTTGAGGAACTTCATCAGCTTGCGCTTCTCCAGCGCTTTGACGTACGGATCGGCAAAGATGTCGGCCTTGGAGCACGGCACGGCCCGGAACGCGCCGTCCGAGTACAGCAGCGCCTTTTCACCGCCTTGAACTCGAGGTACTTGGCCACGTCCGACGAGATGAGGTCGGCGACAAGGCTGCCACGCGCCGGGATGACCTTGTTGCCGAGATCGACGTTGAACTTTCGTGCGTTCTGCGGCAGCGCAAAGTCGGCCACCGCGGCTGCATCGACCACCACCGCCCGCGCATGGCCGATCCCAGCCCGCGCCATCATGCTGCAGCCATCCACGCCCAGAGCCTCAAGCGCCGCCGCGCTTCCCTTATCCATGCCCTCGGTCTCCGCCATCTGGCTCCGATCGCCAGACTCATCCCCGTGGCCCACCTCACCGCCATGGTCCGATCCGGTCGTCGACATGGTCCTGGAGAGTTCCGGAAACGGGAGCGAGGCCCATGGTCCGCCGTAGTGCGAGTTGGCGTCGAGATGGAGTACGCGCTTGCCGATCCGGGCAGCCGCGCTGCGCACAGCGACGGTAAGGGGAGGTACGTGAGTGTGGTGAGGAAAAGGTCGCAAAGTGCACAGGAAAAGGTCGTAGCGTGAGAGGGGGAAAGGCCGTGGAGAAGCGGTGGCCGGCTTCCATGACGCCACCGTTTCACGGCGACCTGGACCTGTAGGGATGGGCAAGCTATTTCGAGACAACATACCCAGCCAGGACACTCTGTGCCACACCGGTGCCGGCCACAACGAGGTCAAACGGCTCGCGGAACTCGTCTAGACTCATGGTCGGCGTCGACTTGCTCGCGCTGGTCGAGGGAAAAGGCTCGAGCAATTGGAGCCCAGCGGGTCGAGTGGTTGGCCGACTCGGTGCTCGTGGTCGACTCGGCCGCACGGGGCGTTAACTTGATCAAAATTGCCATTTACCGATCCCACTACAGGATGAGCTGCTGGATGGGAGTGACGACGATGTCGGATGCACCGCCCATCTTCAGCTGTGGGATGAGGGTGGTGAGCGCCTTTTGCTGGACGGCGGTGCGGACGGCAAAGGCGTGGCCGCCGTAGAGCTGCGCCACGGTCGGGTTCTTGAGCGCGGGGAGCGAGGGGATGAGATCCTCGAGCAGGCTCTCGTCGACGTTGAACTCGATCATGACGCGCGAGCGGCCATCGAGGGCCGACTTGAGGAGGAGGACGAAGCGATCGATCTCGGCCTTGCGGACCGGGTCGGCAAGCGCGGCCTTGGACGCCACCAGATACGTCTCCGAGGTCATAATGACGTCGATGATGGAGAGCCGGTTAGCCTTGAGTGTCTCTCCGGTGGCAGTGTTGTCGATGATGACATCGGCGTCGTCGGGCACGTAGACCTCGGTCGCACCGCCGGTCTTGATGTACGACGCGTCGAGACCGGTGTCCGCGATCCACTTCTTGGTGAGCGTCACGTACTCGGTGGCGATGACAAGCTTGCGATCGGTGGGGAGCGAGCCGCCGTGGGCAGCGAGGAGGGCATCCGGCGCGGCGACGACAACCCGGACCGGGTCCATGCCGGTGGCAAAGTATGGCACCACCTCGCCGCCGGCCTCAAGCTCGGCGATGAGGTCGACGCCGGCAAAGCCCATGTCGCGCTTGCCGGCCTGGATGAGCCGGACCGTGTCGCGCGGCTTGAGCAGCTTGACGTCCCATCCGTCGAGGTTGATCGACGGCCGCAGCGACCGGGCCCGGATCTTAACCTTGATTCCACCGTCTGCGAGGAGTGAGAGGATGTTCTCGTTCATCCGGCCCTTGGGCAGCGCAAACTTGATGACAGCGCCGCTCTCGTTGGCGGCCGGGAGGGCGACGCCTGCAGTGCCGACGGCGCTGGCCGATCCGGCCCGCGAGCGCGAGATAGATCCGCTCTTCTCGGTGCCGACCAGCGCGAGGCGTGCTTTGGCCGCAGCCGCGTGGCCGAGCAGACCCTCCATCGACGCGAGCGCCACCGCATCGGCCACGATGTCGCCCGCGGCACCCATGTCCGTCATGTGGACAAAGGTCCGGACCCGGAGGAAGGTGAGGACCGAGAGGCCGCCAAAGGCCTTGGCGCTCCCACCGGTTGGCAGCGTGTGGTTGACGCCGACCGAGTAGTCGCCGAGCACCTCGGCCGAGCCGGCGCCCACAAATAGCGATCCGTAGTTGTCCAGCTCCTCAGTCAGCCGTGCCAGATCATGTTTGCCCCCGTCAACCTGGATCTCCAGGTGCTCGGGCGCAAGCGCGTTGGCCACCGCCACCGCCTCATCCATGTTGGCGGCAATGACCGAGAACCCGTTGTTGGCGAGCGCGGTCGTCGCGGTCGCTGCGTTGGGCCCAAGCTCACCAGAGGCGATCTGGGAAGCGAGCGCAGCATTGACCGCATCGACCACGCACGCATCGGGCGTGACGAGGATCGGCACGGCGGCGACGTCGTGCTCAGCCTGGGCGAGGAGGTCGGCGGCGATGAGCCCCGGATCGGCGGATGCGTCGGCGAGGACCAGACACTCAGACGGGCCGGCGAGCATGTCGATGGCAACCGAGCCGGCCACGAGTGACTTGGCGGCGGTGACCCACTTGGATCCTGGACCGACAATGGCGTCGCAGGCCGGCACGGCGCCCGCGCCGTAGGCCATGGCGCCGATAGCCTGGGCGCCGCCGATCGTCAGCAGCTTGTCGACCTTGGCGACGTGGCAGGCGGCCAGAATGATGGGCGCAGGATGCGGCGACGCGACAATGACGTCGGCGCAGCCGGCGACCCGCGCCGTCACAGCCGTCATGAGCACCGTCGACGGCAGCGGGTAGCGGCCACCGGGCGCGTAGCAACCTGCGCGCGTGACCGGCGAGATCGAGTGGCCGATGTCGCCGCCGGCGATGGAGAGAGTGAGCGGGTGAAGCGACTGCTTCTGCGCGAGCGCAAAGGTCTCGATCCGCCCGGCGCATCGGCGGAGCACCTTACGTTCGGCCTCGGGAATACTCTCATAGGCTGCGGCAAACTCGGCTGGCCCGAGCACGTACCGTTGCTCATCCCGCCAGTACTCGTCTGCATCAGAGAGGTCGCCAAACTTGGTCGCGAGCTCGAGGAGCGCCGACTCGCCATCGGCTTCGATGCGCGCAAGGATGGACCGTGCGACCTTGAGCGCTTCGGCATCAACAGCATCGACGTACGCCGAGGTCTTGCCGGACAAGACGTCCGCGGCGGCGACTTGCCGGAGCGCTGGCGTGGGAGAGCCTGTGGGTGCTGGTGCCGGGATGGACGGCCCCGAGCCGCCATCGACGGCGGCGGGCTCGAGAGGGGCAGCCTTGGGCTTGACAGCGCCTCCGCGGCGCTTGACGTAGAGTGATCGGGATGCAAGGTGGCGCTCGACGTCGACGAGCGGGATGCCAGCCTTAACGAGGCCGACCATGACAAAGTAGAGCACGTCGGCGGCTTCCCAAGTGGCGGCGGCGGGATCAAACGGTTGGGCGGCGAGGGCCTCGATGTACTCGCCGGCCTCCTCCTCGATCTTTGCGGCGAGCATGGATGGCTTGTCAAAGAGCTTCTTGGTGTACGAACCCTGCGGGGCGCTCTCCAGCCGGGACACGAGGGTGCGGTAGAGATCGCCGAGCGCATCGAGCGAGCCGCCGGGACTGGGCACGCCGGCAAAGCACGCGCGGCGCGAGGGGACATGGCAAAAGCCATTGCCATCCTGCGAGACGACAAAGGTGAGAGCATCGGCGTCGCAGTCGAGGGCAATGGCGTGGAGCGTTTGGGTTGCGCCCGACGACGCGCCCTTGCGCCACAGCCCGCGGCTCCGCGACCAGTAAACGCCAGCGCGCTCATCGACAGCGGTGCGGATCGAGGCCTTTGACGAGTAGACTTGGCCGAGGAGCTGGCCGCGACAGTCAACGACGACGGTGGGGAAGAGGCCGTCGGCGCGATCCGAGACGAGCGGGGCGGCGATGGCGTCTCCAAGTGAGAGCTCACCCGAGTAGAGCGACATGCCGACCTGGCCCATGGCGCCGAGGGCGTAGAGGTCGGCAAGGTCAGCAGGCGAGGTGATGCCGCCGGCAATGGTGAGCGAGAGCGGGAGGCCGAGGGAAGTCGAGGCGGCAGCAATGACGGCGACAAGGTCGGCAATGGCGGAGCGGTCGATGCCAACCATGCGGCCCTCGCGCTCGACAAAGGTGACGAGGAAGCCGGAGCAGTACGGCGCGAGGGCGGTGACCCGGTCTGCAACCGACTCGCCGGTCTTGGTCGTCCACCCGTCCACCACTACCTCGCCGTGAACGGCGTCGAGGGCGACGAGGACGCGATCGCGCGGGAGCTGGGCGAGGAGTTCGGGGCTAGCGGCGGTGCCGATGATGACCGAGCGGGCGCCGGCCTGGAGGTAGTCGAGGGCGGCGTCGACGGAGCGAATGCCACCACCGACTCGGCATGGGTAGCGCTTGCAGAGCTCGACGATGGCGTCCTTGTTGGAGCCACGCGAGAGGGCGGCGTCGAGGTCGATGACCGCGATCTCGCCGGCGAGGGCAAACTTGGCTGCAAGGGCGTCGAGCTCGCTGCCGGCGTCGATCTTGAGCTTCTCGGGATCACCGCCGACAAGCTGGACAGCACGGCCGCCCATGAGGTCGATGGAGGGAACGACGGCCTGCGGCGGCGGTGAGAGGTGGAGCTTGGTCGCGGCGTCGGGTGCAAACGACGGCGGGCGGACCGAGAGCGACGGATCCAGGAGCGAGAGGGCCGATTTGATCGAGCCGACGGTGTAGTCGCCGTAGTGGAAGATGGATGCCGCGAGGAGGGCATCGGCGCCGGCGGCGATGGCGGCGACCATGTGCTCCGGCGACGAGGCGCCGCCCGAGGCAACAACCGGGATTGAGACGGCGGCGGAGACGGCGGCGAGGAGCTTGGTGTCGTAGCCGGAGCGGGTGCCGTCGCGGTCAAACGAGGTGAGGAGAATCTCGCCGGCGCCGGCGGCGGCGGCGCGGGCGGCCCACTCGATGGCATCGATGCCAGTCCGCTCCGAGCCGGACTTGACGACAACCTCCCAGCCGGAGGCCGTCGAGTCAGCCGAGCGTGCGTCGACGGCAATGACGATGCACTGCGAGCCAAAGCGGGAGGCGAGGCGGGAGATGAGCGCCGGGTCACGGACGGCGGCGGTGTTGACGGCGATCTTGTCGGCGCCGGCCTCGAGTAGGGCCTGGGCCGAGTCGACGGAGCGGACGCCGCCGCCGACGGTCATGGGGAGGAGGACAGAAGCACGGAGGGACCGGATCATGTCGAGGGCGGTGGCACGGGCTTCGGGCGTGGCGGAGATGTCGAGAATGACCAGCTCGTCGGCGCCCTGGGCCTCGTAGGCGCGGGCAAGCTCGACGGGATCGCCGGCGTCGCGCAGGCCTTCAAACTGGACGCCCTTGACTACGCGGCCGTCCTTGCAGTCGAGGCAGGGGATGATGCGGCGGGTGTGCGGCGGGGCGATGGGATCCGGGACCGGAAGCGGGGCGCGCGCGAGGTCGACAAATGCCTTGAGGATGGCGAGACCGAACGAGCCCGAGAGTTCAGGGTGGAACTGGGTGGCGAGGACGTTGCCGCGCTGGAGGGCAGCGACGTAGTCGGAGCCGTAAGAGGCGATGGCAGCGGACCAGCCGAGCGGAACGGATCGGAGGCAGAACGAGTTGGAGAAAAAGGCGTAGCCCGGTCGAGAAATAATGTCGCCTGCAGCAGACGCCATAGGCTTGACCTTTGCCCATCCCTGCTGTGGAATGGGCCGCGAGGCGACGTTGTCAAACTTGACGACGTTGGCGCTAGCCAAGACACCGAGGCCATTGACGCCGGGAGACTCGTCAGAGCAAGCAGCGAGAATTTGGAGACCGACGCAAACAAACAAAGTAGGAAGGTTGCTAGCGAGACGGGCCTTGATGGCATCGATGAGGCCAGGGGACGAGGCAAGAGCGTCCATAGAGGCACCAAAAGTGCCCACGCCGGGAATAACAACCAGCGGAGCGCTGGCTACGTCAGCCGACTCGATCGAGGTCCTTGGCTTGGCGCCAGCCCGCTTGAGTGAGGCTGCCACAGAGGCCACGTTAGCCACTCCCGTACATACAATCACAGTGTCCATGTTGTTGCGCGAGCGAGACGTTGCTGAAAAAGAAGTTGCAGTCCGCTAGGTTAGCGGAGACGAGGAGTGTGGCGACGTGCGGAGGGATCGTGGCGACGCGTGCGGATGGCATTTTTTTAACCATCCGCAACTTTCCATTCGAATGTTCTAGCTCTGCTACCCCTACTCACACCTCCTGCAAGCGGGAGAGAGCTTGCAAAGGAAGGAAAAGTGAATGCTGAGGTGCAAGGAGCAAGGATAATGCCAAATGTTGGAGTGTGGTACGTGTAAAGGCGGCAGTCAACGGAGGGGATGAGTATGATGTTCAAGATCACGAGCAAGAAAGTTAGCTTAGAATTGGCGGTGGAGCCGCTGTCACAGCGCAGGCCACTCACTCACATACCTGTCTGCAGACCAGTTGTATGTGGGCGGGGTGAAGTGGGGCAAAAAGAGGGGGGAGGGGGACACCGTGGGCAGATACTCATAGTGGTATGTTGGTGGGACTGGGATGCTGCGGGTGGGCGCACTGGCTGGCTGGCTGGCTGACTGGCTGGCTGGCTGGCTGGCGTGCTGGTAATCGATGGCTCAGATGGCGAGGTTCATTCGTGACGACCTCGCGAGCGCCCGCTACAAGGGCGTAGAGTCGATCGAGGCGCTGGCTGACGAGCTCGGCATTGCGGTCTCGTCGATCATCAAGCTCAATGCCAATGAGAACCAGTACGGGGTGCCCGAGGCGTGTGCGGCAGCGATGAGCGCCGCCATCAACGTCACCACCCATGTGTATCCGGATCCAAGCCAGGCCAAGCTCCGGGGTGCCGTGGCAGAGCTGCATGAGCTCGGGCCCGAGTCTGTTGTTGCCGGTGCTGGCTCGGACGACATTCTCGACATTATTCTGCGCGCGACTGCGCCCAAGATTGTGGCCTACGCGCCGCCGACCTTTGGCATGTACTCCTTCCTCGCCAAGGTCAACGGTTCGATCGAGCAGGTGCTCATTGAGAGAACGCCCGAGTTTGGCGTCACGGCCGCGTCCGTTATCGCGAGTGTGAGCGAGGCGCTCGCTGACGGCGGCCACGGCGTCGTCTTTCTACCATCGCCCAACAACCCGACCGGCAACCTGGTGGCACTCGGCGAGGTGCGTGCCATGTGTGCCGCGCTCCCGAACGCCATCATTGTTCTCGACGAGGCGTACATCGACTTTGCACCGGCCGGCGCCTCTGCCGCGGGCCTCATCGGTGAGTATGACAACCTTGTTGTCTGCCGCACCTTTTCCAAGTGGGCCGGCCTCGCCGGGACACGGATCGGGTACTGCCTCGCCGATCCTCAGCTTGTTGCCACCTTTCTCGCCATCAAGCAGCCGTACAACGTCAACTGTGCGGCAGAGGCAGGCGCGCTGGCGGCGCTCGGCGCGCGCGACGACATCCTGGCGTCGTCGGTCTCGCGGCTCATTGTCGAGCGGCGCAACGTGTTTGTCCAGCTCGCAGCGCTAGCGCCACTGGTAGTCCCGGTCCCGTCGTCGGCCAACTTTGTCCTCGCGCGCATTGCAGACACCGCGCCGCTGACTGCAGGCGAGCTTGCGTCTGCGCTCCGCGCCGCCGGCATCCTCATCCGCTACTTTAACAAGCAGGGCGGCGACCTCGAGGCTTACATCCGGATCTCGGCCGGTAAGCCGGCAGACACTGCGGTAGTGATAGGAAAGATCCGTGAGCTGCTGGGAGCCGCACCCGCGCCACCGCCGGTTCTCGCCAACCCAGGCATCGAGGCGGTGCTCTTCGACATGGACGGTGTGCTCGCCGACGTCGGCGCCTCGTACCGGGCGGCCATTGTCGCCACGGCGAAAGCGTTTGGTGTCACCGTCACCGCCACCGACATCGATGCGGCCAAGGCGGCCGGCAACGCCAACAACGACTGGCTGGTAACCCGAGCGCTCATCGCCGCCAGCGACGACGCGCCGCAGCCGCTGCCGACGCTCGACGAAGTGACTTGTCAGTTTGAGGCGCTCTACCACGGCGATGGCAGCACCCGCGGCCTCTACGCCAACGAGACACTCGTGGTCGCAGCCGACTTGCTCCACTCGCTCAAACATGTTGCCGGGCTCAAGCTCGCCGTCGTTACCGGCCGCCCGCGCGATCCGGACGCCACCCGCTTCCTTGACGACTTTGGCCTCACCGGGCTCTTTGACGCCGTCATCACCATGGACGACGGCCCGGCCAAGCCATCGCCGGTCCCGATTCAACTCGCGCTTGACGCACTCGGCGTAGCACCAAGCGCCGCCATCATGCTCGGCGACACGGTCGACGACGTCGCCGCCGCCCTCGCCGCCTCGGTCCCCGCGCTCGGCGTCATCCCACCCGGCGCTGGCGAGCCGGATGGCCTTGCCAAAGTCCTCACGCTCGCCGGCGCAAGCTACGTCATGGGCCCGGGCTGCTTCGAGCTTGCGCACCTGATCACCCGCTAGTCTGGTCACGAGGTAAACCGTGGAATCGTGGCACCATGCCGCAGTTCGAGCAGAAGCAGCGCGAGCACAGCGTCGACACCCAACTCGCCGCGCAACTCGACGCCAGCCAAACAGCCGCCAACACCTCGCCCTCCCCTGCGTCTGCGGCATCAGGACACCAATCCCACACTTGGCCACCCCCTCCATCTCAGCGTCTCGCATCGCTACAGTCGCGGTCAGCAACGGTCCGATACGGTGGTGAACGAGGTCAACGAAGCGCTGGAAGATTCCTGGCGCGTGGGTGGAGACGGGCTTCCATTGAGCTTCTGCTGGCGGCAGAGTTTTTAGTGCGGGCGCCTTTGCTTTTTATTGTGGCTCCGGGTCACCCCCCTACATCGCATCTTGACCTTTCTCCCTTTCTTGGACACGGCTCATGACTGAGACTGCAGAGACACCAGACTTTAGCAACTGGGATGCAGCACAGTGGGCCGAGGCGTGCTCCATCTGCTTCTCGGCCAACTGCGAGATTGCACTCCCTGAGTGCGGCGACCAGTTTTGCGGCGGCTGCCTCGGCAAGTACTTCCACGCAAAGATCGAGAGCTCATGGGGCCTCCGCGCGCAGCAGCTCGACTGTCCTGTCTGCCACGTGCCGGTGGACGAGGAGACCTGGACTGGCTTTGTCGACGATGACCACGCTACAGCGTACCACTCGTTCCAGGCCGCCCGCGATCGCGGCGTCGAGCGCTTTTGCCCGGCGCACGACTGCGGCGGGCGGCTGATCATTTCAATGGTACCTACGTCCGAAGCGGAGCGCGAGGCAGTGCTGCGGACGACGCGCCGAGAGATGCGCGCTGCAGGTGTGACGGCCGAGGCGATGGCGGCGATGGGTGCGGCCGCGGCGTCGTTTCGTGATCTGCCCGAACACGCCACAGCGGCGCTCGACGCCGCAGTCGCAAGCTACTTTGCCGCTTTTGACGACGGCTTGTCAGGCTCAACGCTCACTGCTGAGGCCAAGGCACGGATATCGTCGGCCATCATTGGGCAACCTTCGTCGCCAGAAGTGCGCCGGGCGCTGGAGCTCGGACATCTGGTCCGATTCCCACGGGCGTTGTGTCGGGCGTGCGGGCGCCCGGCATGCTCCCACTGCGGCTCGGCGTGGCACGAAGGCGAGACGTGCGAGGCGGCAGCGGAGCGGATCGCGGCTGAGCTCGCCGACGCGCCCGAGACTGACGCTGCTGCGGCTGCCGCGCGCTCGCTTGCCTTTGTCCTTGCCTCGTCGAAGCGGTGCCCCCACTGCTCGGTCTTTGTCCAGCGCGACGACGGGTGCAACCGCATGTCATGTGTCGTCTGCTGCGGGCCGACCTGGTGCTGGGTCTGCGGCCGTACTTCAGCCGAGTGCACCTTTTACGCTTGCGCCATCAACGGGCCCAACCCGGAGGCGGCGCCTCATGCGCTCGCGGCTGCGCCTCCGGAGCTCGGCGTTCCGGACGTCACATCTGATGCGTTTGCATCGTTCACATCGCCCGAGGCTCCGCCGGCAGCACCGTCGACGACTGTTGATGCCGCCGACATCGTAGCTGCTCTTGCCATGCCTCTTTCGAGTGCGATCGTGCCCGATATCGACGAAGCCGAGCTGGAAGCGGAGCTGCAGGCGCTGGAAGCCGAGATGCTGACATAAACCCATGTCACTTACCACAGCCACCAGCTTGATGACGGACCGGCGCCGCGGTCGACGATCGGCGACGTCGCGAGCCCGAGAAAGAGCTCGCCGCTTCCGACATTGCTGAGGATCACATCCTGGAAAGCCATGACCAGCCCGTCCAAGTCGCCGGCGCTGCGAATGAGCGTTTTTCGACTTGCGGCGCAATGGCGAGCCGTAGCTTGTGGGTGAGCAAGAGGGCGCGCGGGCAAGAGGTCGGACATGCACTGCGTGCCGACATCAGTGCCGACGTGGCGGCGACGAGCGCAGAGAGGAGTGCAGCGCGGACGCGTGTGTAGAAGGCCCAGCACTCGGAAGATGGCGCCTCGTCTGGCCCGACGCCGCGCATTGCTGCAACAAGCGGGAGCAGGAGCGCGGCGACGGCCGGCTCGTTGTAGGCCGCATGGGCTGTCTCGTCAGCGGCACAGAGGACTGCGCCAGGTGAGGAGCGGGGCGGTGGCGGGAGTGGCGGGCAGCCAGCACATCGGTGGACCCGCTCTTGAGTGAAGGCCGCCGCAAGCAGCGCGTTCCGGATCTGCGGCGGGGCAGAGGCGGCGAGCTTGCGGACCGGCAGCGTGCCAAGAAAGGCATCGACTCGTGCCGCGGCGTTTGTGGCAGCAGCAGCAACCGGGCCGCGTGGCGCATGGGCGACGAGGTCGGCAAGTTCGGCCCGGATGCAGCTGGTGCGGAGAGAAAGACCCGCCACCGAGCGGGCAGCAGCTCGCGCAGCTGCAAGCAGTGCAGTGTTGTCGGTGACGAGACAGACGTCAGGGATGCTGAGCATGCACGCGGCCGAGACGAGCAGGTCGGCATCGACCGGGTGCTCGACGTGGTCCTCGGGCGTGATCGAGAGCGCGGCGGACGACTCCACCGAGACTATTGATAGGCCAGGCCGATCGGGAAGGCCAGCGTCCGAGTCCGAGTCCGAGTCTGTCTCAAAGCCGCCCGAGTCGTCCTCGGGTACGATTGCGTCAAGGGCGGCGAGCGCGTCTTCACGCTGCTGGCGCTCGTTAGCCCGCAGCGCATACCAGTCTGCACGGGCGCGCTCGAGCGCAGCATGCCGGATGGGCAGCAACTCGGAACGCGTCGCCTCGGGGATCAGATCCAGGCCCATCAACACCAGTCGTGGCAGGGCATCGGGCTGGACAGCCACCAGTGCATTGGCAAGAGCAGTCGACCAAAAGTCGCCGGCCACCACCAGTGTCGACTGCTCATACAGCGAGAAGCACAACAGGACCAGATCCGGGCTTGCGCGCGCAACCAAAGCGTCCATCGCTGTCTGATTGTACGCCTCGGAACCAGCCGCCACAGTCAGTTCGAGCTCGAGCGGCGGGAGCGCGGACCGCGGCGGTGGATCAAGGCGGATGGCCGAGCTGGTGGCCCCGGACTCACCTCCTGTCTCGATCGGCACCAGCAGATCACCAGCGGTGGGCTCGATCCCTCGCAGCAGCGACATAAGCGCATGCTTGCCGACGCCTACGCCACCATTCTCCATCATACCAATGCCAACGCCGATGTATTTGCCGATGCCAATGCCGAGCCAATCACCCCCCATCGACCACACCACACCATTGTTCCATTCCATTCAGAGTGAGTGACATCGCCACTCGGCGCGTCGTCACCACCCACACCAACCAACCTGCCTAACAACAGCCCGTCAAGCAACATACCAACATCGCCTACCACCAAAACACGCGCAGTATACAGACTCTCTCCAGACTCGCCTTCCTCCAAATGTGAGCTTCCAAGTCCAAGCAGGCGCCACATGCGCGTCCTCTGTTCTCAACCCGGTGGACCGAGTGAAGTGGTCGTGTCGCACACGCGAGTGTGACGGCGGTCGAGTCGCTCGTCACGGCAAGCACCAGCTGTGTTGTCGATGACTGGCCCGCACGCCTACTGCTACGCACCAAAGGGAAAGCCGTCTCCATCGCAGGAATTCCATTCATGATTGGTTGCCCATCATCATTGTTGTAGATCCATGGCTACGGCGAACACGCCACGATGCAACGGCACAGGGAGTTGGTGTGCGTGGTACCGTCCCTCCGCGGTCACCCCAACCTCATCAACAAGTCTCAATCCTCATCACGCCCATTCTCACTCATGACATTCCGCTACCACTGCTATGTCGGTTCATGCCGGCCTCTTTACGGCATCCAAGCAAGCTGTTTGCCATGCGGACTTCTGTCCATCGTTCTCCAGCAGCAGCTCGCAGCGACAGGCGAGCTTGCACCACACGCCACATCGCACCACCATACTTGTCCACGACGGGCTATGCAAGGCTTTATCAACAGTATCCAGAGTGCTGACAACACGACGCTCTCGCGGAAGCTCACAAAGCTTGCCAAACGCCTCGATGCGGCTCTGGTGGACGACGCGCCAGCCGAGGTGGTGACCAAGCTGGAGAGCAAGCTCGAGGCGGTCCGGGCCGAGATCGAGGCCCGGGCAGCGGCGGCGCTAGCCACTCCGAGGCCACACGCAGGCGACAGGAATTGCAATCTAGAGGAGCTGTCTGATGCAGAGCTTGTTCGTCTTCGGGGCAAGTCGGCCCGCAAGCTCACGGCAGCCGTCGCCAAGGGCAAGACGGCCAGAGCTGGCGCCCTGTGTGCGGCGGTGGTGGCGCTTGAAGCCGAGATGGCACGCCGGGAGCTTGATGGTGCAGGTAACGAGTCCGATGGTAGCGACGATGAGCTGCTGCCAGAGATCCCTGTCGGCGCCACCATTCCACGAAACGCGCTCCTCAGCGCGCCGACTCTTGTTCTCGAGCATCTCGTCGACGGCCACATGCGGCTTGGACCCGCGGACGAGGCCGTGATCCACGCCGAGCTGGCGCTGCGGCGATCGAGCGGCGTAACGCCAGCCAACGTTGGTGAGCACGTGGCCAAGCTGCTCCACGCAGGCAAGCCCGTCCCGACTGCTGTTGTCCGGCGGCTAGTGGCCATCGCGATGAGAAGGTGACCGCCTCTCGCGGATGCGGCCCGCGTTTACGGCTAGATCTGAATGCCCTTGGACGCGCCGTCGATGGCGTCGATCCAGGCCACCATGTCATCCTTTCCGCCCTCGGCCTGCAAGTAGTAGGTCCGCGCCTCGGTGACGACCTCGAAGACAAAGGTCCGCTTCTTGGTCACGGCTGGGTCACCGCAGACCTGCACCATAGCGATCTCGCCGAGCGGGATGGCGCCCTTGATCGGCTTGTTCTTCTTGGGCGCATAGGTGAGAGCCGATGGGGTGATGGTAAACCAGCGTTTGGTCCAATTGGTCCGTGAGCCGCCGCGCTTGTTGAGGAAACCCTCCTTGCCGATGCCCTTAATGGCGCTGCCCGGGCCCGACGGAGCGGCGGCGGCGGTGATGGCGATGACCTTTTTGAGGATGACGAGCCAGGAAAACATGATCTCTTGCGTTGGCGCGATAAAGTGGAAGGTGCGATACGGGGTAACGACCTCGAAGCAGTTGGCCTTGTCCTGGTCCGAGTTTCGTGAGACGCTCGTGACGTCGGCCAGCTGGATCGAGCCCTTGAGTGCCTTGCCCTCCTTGGCGGCGTAGGTGATCTGCGACGGGGTGAGTGTGACAAACCGCGACGACCACGAGTTCTTGGAGCCCGCGCGCTTTTGTAGTGTCGACGACTTGACGATGGCGTCCGGGTCGCTGAGGTCGACGGTGACGCCGTCGACAACAAGCTCATTGGATGAAGACGACGGCGCGGCACCGGGCGGCACCGAGCGGCGGGCCGAGGCGCGGGCCTTGTCCGGGTGCAGAGCCATGTCAAAGGCCTCGAGCCAGTCATTCATCTCGTCCTCGGAGCGGGCCTGGAGCTTGTATGTCCGCTTGGCAGTGGCAATGTCGATGCGGAAGAGGCCGTCGACCTGGGCGGCCGAAGTCATGTCGCGGACAAGGATCTCGCGGCGCTGGGCCGAGTTTTTCTTGGGCGCGTAGGTGAGCTTGGAGGTAGTGAGGACAAAGAAGCGGGTGAGCCAGTTCTGACGCTGACCACCTTGCTTCTGCAGGTAGCCCTTCTTGAGCTCTGAGCGGGCCTTGGCCTCCTGGCGACGTGCGGCGGCGCGCATGCGGTCTGCACGTTTGATGGCGAGCGCAAGGCAGACGATCCAGTTGTCCATGGTCTCTTCGTTACCGGCATACATGTAAAAGGTGCGGTATGTGGTGTCGAGCGCAATGCAGTTGGCCTTGCCCGAGCTGGCATCGACGCCGACCTTGGTCATGTCGTCGATCTTGATTCGGCCCTTGACTGGCTTGTACTTGTGGGCCGAGTAGGTGAGCTCTGTTGGAGTAAGCGCAAAAAAGCGCTGCTCCCATGCGACTCGGATCGACGACCCGCCCTTTTTCATGAGGTAGCCCTCACAGGTCGCGACCTTGAGCGACGAGCTCCGCGGTGGCGGTGGCGGCGGCGGCTGCAGCGCCACGCCCTGTAGTTCGGCTGGTAGTCCCTCGACGTAGGCATCGCCGAGCTCGGCGCGAAGTTCGGCCGAGGTCTTGCGCTCGCCAGAGACTGCAGCTCCACCTGCCGGCTCGGCCTCGGGCTCCTTGAGCTTGGCCTCGGCCTCGGCGAGTGCAGCGCGCTCGGCAGCAGCAGCGGCGGCCTTTTCGTCAAGCGCGGCCAAGCGCTCGGCCTCCTCGGCCTCGGCGGCGGCACGAGAAGCGGCGGCGGCAGCCTCGGCGGCGGCACGCTCCTCGGCGGCGGCGGCCTCCTTGGCCTTGCGCTCTGCCTCCATGGCTTCGCGCTTCCGCTGGTCCTGCTCGGCCTGCTCAGCGGCAAGCATGGCGGCCTGTTCGGCCTCGAAGCGCTCACGCTCGAGCCGCTCGGCCTCGAGCCGCTCGGCCTCGAGCCGCTCACGCTCGAGCCGCTCGGCCTCGAGTCGCTCACGCTCGCGGCGCTCGGCCTCGAGCCGCTCGCGCTCCTTGCGCTCGTACTCGAGGCGGGTGATTTCGACGTCGACTCGGGTAAGGCGAGCAGCCTCAAGCGAGGCGAGCTTGTCAGCAGCAGCGGCGGCGAGGGCGGCACGGGCGAGGGCGCCGCGGACCATTCGCTGGATCTTGACGACCGAAGCCGAGAGCCGCTCCTCGCGGACCATCTCAAGCGAGGTGGAGAGGCCGTCCTTGAGAAAGACCTTGGACTTTCCGATCTGCCACTGCAGCGATGCGGGTGCGCCGTCAGGAGTGTCCTCCATATGGGCGAGCGTGCCGGCGGACTCGATGATGGCACGGCACTGGTCCTGAACCGACGCCGGAGCGGCCGAGGCGTCGAGCAGGAAGCCGAAGCGGGCCAGGAAGTCGTCAAACGGAACCCAGACGGGGTACGCGCGCTTGCGCATCTCGATGGTCTCGAGCATGCCCTGGCAGCGAATCTGGCGCATGACAACGGCCGGGTCAAAGGTGTCGGCCAGCTGGGCGTCGTTTGGCTTGATGCAGCGGATAAAGTGCAGGTCGGTGGCGCCGAGGGTATCCATGAGCGAGTTGAGCGAGGTCATAAACTGCTGCGCGAGGCCGGCGGGGCCCTTGGCGCGGCCGCGGCCGCCACCAGCCGGGACGGCGGCTGGGGTCGCGAGCGGGGCGTAGACGGCGGCGACTAGTGCGGCAGACGAGGCGGCGACTAGCTCGTTAAACTCGGCAAATGGCGGGTCCTTGTTTTTCTCGAGGAAGCCGTCGATCTCGTAGGTGACCGGGCCGGCGTAGTGGTTGATGGCAAAGGCCGAGTTGGCAGCCTTGCGGGGCGCGTCGTAGTACGGCGAGCCGCGGAAAGCGTCGTGCATTTTGGAGAGGAGGTTCGCGTCTGAGCCGCGCGGGACCTTACACTCGTCACGGAGCATGGCGAGGATGCCCGAGTTCTTTTGCTGGATGAGGTCGAGGCACTCTTGGTTGTCCTTGAACTCGATGGCCTCGACGTTGAGGCCCTCGGCCGAGTACTCTGCGAGCTGGAGCTTAAAGGTGTGGGCGACAAAGAGCTGCTGGAGGCGCTCGTTGACAAAGTTGATGAGGAACTGCTCAAACGAGTTGTGCTCAAAGATCTCAAAGCCAAAGATGTCGAGGATGCCGACGTATGGCCCATCGAGGAGCGGCGTGGCTGAGTCGGCGGACGAGGCGACCGAGGCATTGATTTTGACGACAAGCCAGTCAAAGAGGCGCGAGTAGAGGGTCTTTGCGGCCGAGCCAGCGGCGATGCGGGCGTCGTTGGGGGTACGCGGCTTGTAGTAGATCGAGTTGCGCGAGACAATGCGACGAGTGGTGAGGGTCTTGGAGAGCTCGGCTGGGGCAATGCCGAGGAGCTGGGCAATCTCGTTGACGGGCGTCTCGTCGGCCAGCTGACAGCCGTCTGAGCCCGATGGCGTGAACTGGACGTTGCCAAAGAGGAGAACGGCCGAGACGACCGAAAAGACAAAGTCAATTTCGTCGGGGACAAGGCCGATGGCGTTAAAGGCGTCCTTGAGCTCGATAAAGTCGTCGGCGTCGTTGGCGCCGGGGATGGTGTAGCAGCCCGGATTGAGGTACGCGTACTCGCTCACGTCCTTGAGGAAGAAGCGCTCTTTCTCGGCAGCAAAGGTACCGGCCAGGAGCTGGTAGAATATGTGGTAGTTGCGCTCGGTACCCGACTGCGAGCAGACGCGCGACTTTTCGAGCAGGTACGTCTCAAACGAGGCGCCGGCGATGGAGCCTACCGAGTCAAAGTGGACCTTGATAAACTTGCCGAAACGTGATGAGTTGTTGTTGCGGACGGTCTTGGCGTTGCCAAAGGCCTCGAGGACCGGGGTGGCGGCGACGATGCGGGTGGCGAGCGGGGCGGGGGCATAGTCCTCCTCGTCCGAGTCGTAGGCCATGTCGGCGGCGTCGTCGTCGTCGTCGCTGCCGGTGTTCTGCGAGGCGACGCGGGTGGTGTACTCGAGGATGAAGCCGGTGGTACGTGACTTGCCGGCGCCAGACTCGCCCGAGATGACGATGCCCTGGGCGCGGCCGGTCGAGGTGGCCTTGCGGTAGGCGCGGTCGGCGACGGCATAGACGTGCGGCTCGGCATCGGCGCGCGAATTGGACTCGAGAAAGCGGGCAACGGTGGCCGGCCCGTAGAGCGCAGGCATGGCCTTGTACGGGTTGATGGCGAGGAGCGCCGAGCCCATCCAGGCGTAGATGTTGGAGCCGGCGAGGCGGACACGCGACAGATGCAGCACATCGCCCTCGGAGAGCCGCGGGAGAGTCACCAGGTTCTCGACACCCTCGGGCTCTTCTACCGGGAACGAAGTCGGGACGATGGCGTCGAGCGGGACCGACGCGGTAGCCGGTGACGGCGACGAAGCGAGGGCAACGTCCATAAACTCGACCGTCGCAGCTGACGAGCCCACGTTGGCAACTGTGGCAAGAGCCCATACCATCGTGTCTGAGGGCACCCAGACACGATCACCCTACGGATATAGCGTGGGCGAGAAAGGCGGGCGGGCGGGCGGAGTGGGCGCATGGCGCACATTCCGGCGAAGCGATGACCAAGCGAGACGGGCAGGTGCGACGGCATGTTGGTATGCAGACCACCAAATCGCCACGCACGGGTACCCAAATGATGTAGCATGTGTATAGTGAGTATATGTATATACCTGGTGAGTATGAGCATGTATGGGTATGTAGAACTACCTGTAGCCGCCATGGTGTCCCCCCCCCCCCCCCCTCCCTCCCCGACAACCAATACCTCTGTTTGCCATGTCTCCACCCACCTGCAGCACCGGGTGACCACGAGAAGAGAGACGAGGAGGACAAGGAGGACAAGGAGGACGAGGGGGGCAGGGGGGGGGGGGGGGGGGTCTCTATGAAGTGGTATTGGCTATGTACTCGTTGGCATGGTGATGGGGTGATTGTGTAGAATCTGTGATTACGTACCGTCTCGAGATGTGCTGCCATGGGTGCGGGCGTCGACAGTCTGGAGGAGACGAATGGTTGGGTTGGGTTGGTTGGGTTGGGTGATTGGTTGGGTTGGGTTGGTTGGGTTGGGTGATTGGTTGGGTTGGGTTGGTTGGGTTGGGTGATTGGTTGGGTTGGGTTGAGTGGGTTGGTTGGTTGGTTGGTTGGTTGGTTGGCCGGTTGGCCAGTGGCTTGGCTGGTTGGCTGGTGGCTTCCTCTCGCCAGCGGCTTTGCAACCTCTCTTCTCAAAAAATGTCAGCTGCCCCGCCGTCGTACACACCTAGCGGGCCACCACCTGGCCAGCAGGGCTACGGAGCCCCGCCCTCGTACCACCAGCACCAAGTGCCTGCACCATACGCACCTTCACACCCTCAAGGAGGTGGCGGGTATGGTCCGGCGCCTACCACCAACAGCGGTGGTCACTATGGACAACCGCCGCCTGGCCAGCCGTACGGCGTTACGCAACACGGAGCAGCAGCAGGCTACGGCCATCATCAGACGCCAGCCAATCATGGCAATCCTTATGCTCAGCAAGGTCATCCCAATGGTGGCGCCGGTGGCGTCCATGGCTACTCGAACGGACAGCAGAATGGTGGTCATCCTCGCAAGTACGAACGTGGCTGCTATCGCCCCGGTTGCTCCTCAAAGCTGCCGACCTTCCAGATCACCGTCTGCTGCGCCTGCCTTGAGGATCCGGTCACGTTCTGCACCGCTGTGCCGACCTGCTTCTGCCAAAACTACAATCAGCGTTTTGAGATTCTTCGGAGAACTGGCTTTGAGTACGAGTACCTTGGAGGTGCGCTCCGTGGGCCGTGCTGCTGCATGTGCGAGCCGCTGGCTGACTGCATGGAGGACGATCCGAGCTGCGGCATGCTCTGTGAGGTCATCTGCTGCCATCCGTGCGCGGTTCAGGTCACCCGCGGCATGGTTGCTTACCACTACAACCTCCGCGACCGCTGCTGCCTCGACTGTGGTATCTTTGCCGACTTTGGCGACGGCGACTCGTTTGCTAGCGAGGTTATCAGCTTTCTGTACAACTCGGCCGTCTCGGCCTGCTACATCACGGCAAACGCGTACGAGTTTCGTTACCAGGACTCGCTTCAGAACAAGCGCCCACCAGCAAATCAGCCACCGGCGTGGGGCCCGGGAGCGCAGGCGCACCGGTAGCGCCCACGCAGCCGCTGCAGCTAGTTGTCGTCGAGGCGGCGGACAACTTGCTCGTATACGAACCACGAGAGCGCAGCCGATGGGGTGCCCTTGAGCAGATTGGCACCCAGACCGCGGTAAAGACCGGTAACACCGTGGCGGGCAGCGATTTTGCGGCCGCAGTCAAGCATGCCCGAGTACTTTGCGTCGACGCCGGGCATGCCCTGAGCCTGGAGACGTGTGCGGGTGACTTGGGCGGGGTAGGCTGCGATCTGGCCGGCGGTGGACGAGAGCATGCCGCAGGCGAGGACGACTGCCGCACCGGGCTCCGAGTCGTGGAACCGCGTGGCGTAGAGCTCCTTGAGGTACGAGTAGGTGACAAAGTCAATGCCGACGTAGGGGACGACGCCGACGAGCGAGGGGCCGAGGCCGGCGTAGACGCCAGAAATGCCCGAGGCGCGGAAGGTCTTGGCGAGGCAGTCGATGATGCCGGTGTACGAGCCCGGCTTGGAGATGGCAAGCCGGGTCTTGGCAACTTCCATGGGGTAGATGGCGACAGTGGAGGCGACGCCGGCGAGTGCGCCCGAGGTAAAGCGCTCGGCCACAGAGATGTTGCGCGGGTCCGAAGCGACGAGGGCCTTGATCTGCGAAAAGAAGAAAAAGCGCGCGGCAGTCTCGGGCCCTACCTTGAGCACGTTGACGCCATTGCCGCGCCAGTACGCGCGAAGGCCGCCTTCGGCGTAGATGGCGGTCATGGTGGCGCGGATGCCGCCGCCGGGCGGGACTCCGCCAGCGGACCCAGCCTGCAGCATGACCTTGATGCGGTCAGCGGGTGCAGTAGCAGTGCGCGAGACCGCGCCCGCGCACGCGCCCGCCACCAGCGTCTTCCACGGCGGGCGCGGGAGCGCGTCGAGGTCGTCGGGCATGCTCAGCGACTCGCCGATGTCGATGGCCGCCGACTTTGCCCAGTACTCAAAGCAGGCGCGGACGTTCGAGGCCGGCAGCATCATGAGAAAGTCGCGGAACTCATCAAAGGTAATGCGACCGTCGTGGTTAGCATCCATGCGCTCGAGCAGGGCTGAGATGTCAGCATCAGAGGCCTTGAGGCCGAGCGACTCGAGACCGCGGCGGAGCTCGGCAACGTCGAGCGCGCCAGAGTCATCGGTGTCGAGCTGGTCAAAGACGGCCGCCATGGCAGCAGTCCGACGGGCGGCAAAGGCGACAAACTCTGCATACGATATGACGCCATCAGAGTTTGCATCGGCCGAGTTGAACACCTCATCGACGGCCCTGTCGGTGACTGGGATGCCAAGCGAGCGCATGCCGACGGCAAACTCCTTGCGGTCGAGCGAGCCGTTGCCATCCGTGTCGAGGCGCTCAAACGCTGCCCGGATGGCCTGGTCCTCCAATCGTCCTCTGCGCCAAGTCTCTGACGTCGACGGTGTTGCCATTGCTGCCTGCTGCTCTCTCCCGTCCACCTCTCGGTTGGCTACGCGTGGAGTGCTGCTGGCGCACCTGACGATGTCTCACTGGCTTGGTTTGGTTTGTTCGGCGTCTGCTCGGCCACAACGATTGGTTTTGCCACAAACCCAACAAACAATCGTTAACGATTAACTCCCCAACATACAATCGTTGATGATTAACTCCCCCAACAAACAATCTTTAATGATTAACTCCCCCAACAATCAATCGTTAACGATCACTCCCCCAACAAACAATCATTAACGATCACTCCCCCAACAAACAATCGTCAACGATCACTCCCCCCCCTCCCCCCCCCCTCCCCCCTCCGCCTCCACCTTCCCAACCCCACCGCATTCCCCACACGTCTCCACTGTCCCCCCATCCCCCCCACCCCCAACCCTCCACCCCCCTGTGTACTGAACACTACTGGTTGCTGAAACAAGTACGCCCCCCTCCCCCTCCTCCCCCCCCCTCCC